GTGCTCTGATTGGCCAGCTATCCAGTGTGTTGTGATTGGCCGAATACCTCAAGCGGGAGACGGAAATGTTACGCCCCTTACCATATTGTGATGCACTGTCCGGCCGGTGCGACGATTCATAAAAATGAAAACCCATTATAAACGAGGCATTTGTTGCATCCAGTGGGGACATAATTATGGATTATAATGACTTATACTGTCTCTGAATATTTGGGTTGAACTGTTCTGGAACAGTGTTGTAAATACAACTTAACCACTGATTTCTAGTCGTGTCCTCTTTTGGAAGACCAAACAAAGTAGTTTCGCTTTCACAACGAAACACAGCGCCTTCATGACATGGCGGCGGCGGCAACAACAATACTACAGCGAGAATAAAAGTTGCGCCTTCTTTCTTTGACTCTTAACTTTTATAAAGAATATCTCTTTGGATTTGAGACTTTAGTCTTTGCAACTTTACAGATCTTCTTTATGCACCAAGAGCTTGTAACACTCCAAAGAGAAAGGAAAAATTTAAATCGCATCATATGACCCCTTTAAGTCTTTAAAGCTTCGGAAATGTTCCTAGTTGCATAATAAAAGCCTTGTGGTCAATGATGATGTCACAGATCTGTGCATTCTGACGCAACTGATGTGCGAAGCTGCGTGAAACTGAGACCACTAATAAGCATACTGCATGCTTTTGAAAATGCATAGCAAACGATTTAACGGATCGACTTCAGTAAATAGGTATAGAAATATAGAGAACTTGCATGCTGTTCACCGTACTGCTAGAGCTGGGTATAGTATCGGATTACATGTAATCTGATCCCAAAAATTAAGTACTTGTAATTAGATTAAATTACATTTTAAAATACTCATAATCAGACAACAGTTACTTTTTTATTGATGACATGCTTACATATTCACGCAATAAATAATTCATAACTTATTGATTCTCCCTAATTCCTCTTTTTTTGTCTTTTAAATGCTTATATACACTCAGAAAGTCTTGCAGTTTTGTGGACATTCACACAGAGATCAGTCATTAATCAGAACGCTACACAGCATTTGACCTCTGGATTTACAAAAATCAGTTCAGGTTTAAGAAGTGTTTCAACACTGCATCAACTACTGATGAACATGTTCATTTTTATTTGAATTATCACTTATGTCTTTGAAAGGCTTTTGTCTTTCAAACACATTAAAATGCACAAATTCACATTATTTCTTATTTACATGTAAAGCAGGCATTCCCAAACTTTTTTGTCATCTGAACCGCTTTCATCTAATATATTTACTTGAAGTACCCTTGAGATTTTAAAACAAATATTTTAATTATTTATCACATTTGCATGTTCATGGTTCTCTGACGTTGGTTAATGGCCACATGGCATGCAGGTAAACAAAATATTTCATTTTTTTTGTAAGAGTTTGATTTTTTTATTTTATTTTAATTTTTTATAATTTAAATAATTATTAGCTTTCCATTAAACTCATGAACCCGTTTGGGAAACCTTGACAATGTAATGCTCAATGAACGTCATGTTGTTAATTACAACGAATGCAATAGATTTTCTTACTCTTTGTATTTTAATATCAATATGGTACAAGATTATCCTATTTAAACGGTCAAAAGTAATCAAAAAGTAGTCTGATTAGATTACCTAAAATGTGTAATGTAATGGATTAAGTTACTGACTACAATTTTTGTCATGTAATTTGGAATCAGTAACGGTCTACAATTTGTAAGTAATCTGACCAGCTCTGCATACTGCAAAAATGTATTAGTAGTATGGCAGTATGCGATTTCAAATAGAACTCATGTCATCTGAATGACAAATATTCCACTTTACTTTAAAGAAAATACAGTAGGTATCGCCATACTTGCAGACCTAAATTCTCTTACAGGAATTTGACTTATTTTACTCATCATTAGGTGACAAACTAATTAGATTTTATTCTCCTCATTTTGATTATTCTCAATGTATTATCCTTCTTTCTTTCTTTCAACGTGGCACTAAAATGCAGCTGTACTAATGACTAATAATAATAAAATAAATTGCAATAAAAGAGACAGTCTAAACCCAAACCATGATTAGGGTTTATTGGTCAAAATCTGAGAAAAGAAAACATGACAAAAATATCTTTAAGACCGTGGTGTTATGATTTTGTTCTCCATCGCAGGAGACAGCTGGTGAAAAAACACTAGTTTGACATCCGAAGGAAAGCTGAGTGGGCTAAAAGAGAGAAAATGTGTCTTATTAAAAGATATTCACGCTCCACCAAAATGCAGCAGCATTGTTCAGTTCTTGGGGAAGATAAGTATATATTCACAGAAATTGGCAATATATTTCTAGACTAAATTCAGTCATTAATTTCAATCAGAGCCCATTCAACTTATTCACTAATTAAACCACCACGAACATTTTTGAACACCAGTGCCACATTCCAGGATGAAACATTTATGATCGTTTATGGCTTTGGTGGAGGGTGAATAAGCCAAAACACTTCAAAAATCACTCAAAACGGTGAAATGACAATCTGAACCAGCCCCTCAGTCCCTTTAACAGCAAACGTTTTCGCTCTAAACTAATGGATGACCTCTCAGAAACCAGTAACACATATGAAGGCTTTGGTTTTGTTTAGTCCGACCGTATCGCCCTTAAGCATCATATATGAATAATCGCAGAAATACAGCAGGTTACAGAACTCGACTTGCCAAGTCTTTACGAATCAGCATTTTCATCCAGTCCTTGATTTAGGTCTATTAGGTCTATATATAAAAACAACATTCATTTCCACCCTCACTTCATTGTCTATTAAGTTGTATCAGACATTTTTCTTTTTTTTCAATTGGACACTGAATTCGGCCTGATGTCCTGAGGGACCGGTGCAAACTTTCTAGTGTCATTATTAAGAGATTATGGAAACATCAAATAGAATATTGTGGAAAATATGATAATGGTACAAGAATAATAATAAAAAAAAAGATTTACATTCCAGCAATAATCTTAAAAAGCACATTCATATTAGTAGATGCTTTGGAATGATTTTAGTTTTGCAAAATGCTTAGCTTGCTTGTTCCACCGTTTGCAATAAATTTGTTATTTTAGTCCTTTTTATATCCATCGATTAGCCATGTACAGCTTTCAAAACAATAAATAATACAGACATTTCTGATTGGTCCTTTAGATAAAAAAAATATATGGAAAGCTCACACTTTTTGTTGATGTTAAGTTTGCTTTCAGCCACTGAAATACACTTTGGACTGCAGAAATCGAACCCACAAATACACCTTCCCACGAGGTGCCTAGAAAGAATTAACATTAGAGATCAGTGAAAACATGATAAAACTGAAGTGAAAGTGATGAAAAGCCTTCACATCGTGGAGCACAGAAGTCAAAACCTCTGCTTCAGCTTTATATGAACATGATCCACCCTCAAACACACACACACACACACACGTCGAGTCATTATTTACATCAGTAATTGACAAGCCACGCTGATTGAAAAACAAAAAGTGAAAAAAGTGTGATGCATAGAAAGACAAGGAAAAAAAATCAGCGATAATCATTTTGTCTTCGTCCCAGAAACCATCTGTTTTGGAGCTCTTTTGAAGTGCAAGACACAGACTGTAGTCTCCGGTGTTTGTGTGTGTGTGCGCGCGCATGGTTTTTAATCATCTACAAATGGCAAAAGGATGCTGGCACGTTCCCCTTTTGAAGGAGGAGAAATCCAGAGCCACAGGTTTCACTCTTTAGAAGAGCGCATCATAGTTCAGGTCCTCAAGCAGAAAGAGGTCTGTTTTCTTCCTCTTGACTGATCTCTCTCTCAGAGCTGTGTGTATGGAGAGAGCACTGTGCCTCAGGCTGCCTGTAGGGGGCCCGCCGCTCCTGGCAGACGCTCACTGAGCACACTCAGAACAGGGCTTTGGCTCCTTGGTTCTCAAACTCAGACCAGGCATCGCTCAGCTCCATGAAGATCATTTTAGCATACTGCTCGTATGGTTGACCTGTAGCCTGGAAGACCAGAAAAAAAGTTATTTCTCCATAGTTCCTGGATACAAAGATGAGAGTCACACCAACAGTGTGTAATCAGAATGTAATTCTTTAGCGCTGAATAAAAAGTCAGAATGAAATCAGAACTGACCATATTTGTTTTCTTAATTTATGCTATGGGATTTATAGTGCATCCATGCACATTAAACAAATTATTTTTTTGGACCTTCAAAAATGACAAAGCTGCTTTTTATGACAAATAATATGAATTCATATTTGTATTACTACCAATAAATTTGTAACCATATTTATTTATATATCGTTTTTTATTTTGTTATTAATAATTAATATATTGATTAATATCATAAAAAAAATGAATAAATATATTCCCCCCCCATTGTTTGAAATTAAATGAAAACAATAATTTACAAATAAATCATAAATAATAAATAAACAATTAAATATTAAACAAATAAATTAATATTAATTAACAAAATAAATAAATACATACAATACGTTTTATTTTATAAACATTAATATTTAATGCTGTCAATCAATATTTGTATTCATAATATTTATTCATATATTGTTTTCATTAATAATTCATCAATTGCTTAATATATAAAAAATAAAAAATAAATATTTTCTTGAATATAAAAAAATTACCCCCTCCAAATCACATGAAATTAAAACAAACAATAAATAATTACAAAATAAATAAAAACCAAATAAACAAAATAATAAACATCAATGACAAAAACATAATAAACAAACACATACATACAATAAAATTGTCATTTTATTAACATCGTCTATAATTTTGTATCCATATTTATTCATATATTGTTTCAATTAATATTTAATATATTGATTAACATATTAATTATAACTAACATTGTGCTTTAATCATTATTTTCTTGAAATAAAAAGAAAACTATAAAAATAAAAAAACAAATTATAAACAAACAACAAATAAAACAATAAAGTTGTTTTATCTGATAAAGTTTGTATTTCAGTTGTTTCAGCAGAAAAAAAATCATTTTAGAGGCCAGATTTTTGCATTGTGATGAAAAGATTAAACGCATAATGTGCACAGACAAACTGTGCAATAATACTTGAGGGCCAATTTTGAATTCATGTTGACTTTAGAACATATCGATTTACGGTTACAAAAATGGTTTATACAAGTTGTAAATATGTGAATGTAAATCAAACCTTGTCTGGGTGCACAACAAGCACAGCCTTCCTGTAGACCTTCTTCACCTGGTCAGGTGTGACCAGATCTGCCATGGTGACGGGTCTCCAGCGGGTCTCTCCCTCCCACAGGACCGTGTGCAGCGTGGAGAGCAGCGCTCTGATGTTCCTCTCCTTCCCCTCGATCCAATCTAAGATCTAACATACAAACAACAGCATCATCAAGCCCAAAGCACATCTACATGCAAGTATGTTCTTGAGAGGAAAAAAAAAAAAACTTAAATTGTGTTAAACAGTCATACCTGAAGTTTGAGAGGGTCCATGTCTCTAGACAGCTCCTGCTTCCTCATCTCAGCAATAGTTCTGGGCATCTTCTTGTCAGTTTTGGAGCCAAAACCTTGTGTGGATAGAAGATCCTCAAAGTCATCTTCTTTCACTTTGGGCTTTGGACCTAAAGAACACAAACAAACAGGCCGTGATAATTATTGCATTTAGTCACCAGAGAGGCTGACTTAATCTTGATAAGAGATACACTATTTTAAAGCTTTAATACTGACAATCAGATATTTGAAACCAGTGATGTTCTCCAGGTAAATAAACATTGCTTACACTTAGGGCTGGGCAATATAGCCAAAAAATGTTCTCGATAAATTATGTAATGATGCAGATGTAAATTTATGTTCATTATCAAAAACAGTAACATCTGTAAAAATTGTAACAACGTCATTTTTTTATGGTGAAATGTAATTATTCTTTACTAAATGTTTTAATTTCTGAGTTTCACTAAAATTAACCATTGGTTTTTCATAGTAGCATACATTTAGATCATGAGATCACAGTTAAAACCACACATACAGCACCTCAGTACCATGGAAAAATTGAATCTATATTGTTTCTGGGTAGGGTTGTGACGGTGAGGAAATTTTCCCACCGGTTAATCGACGTGTGACAACACCGGTAATACCGGTATCACCGCGGGGGCGGGGCGTTCCCTCTTTTCCTCGCTTTCCTTCGCTTTTAAATAGCTTGTAAAAGCAGCGTGCGCATTTTACTTTCACTTTCAAATAGTGGCAATTCGGAGTAAAGCAATTGTTCGTTTGAATTTTCCCTCTTTTCCTCGCTTTCCTTCACTTTTAAATAGCTTAAAAGCACTGTGCGCATTTTACTTTCACTTTAGAATTAGTGGTAGTTAGGCATCCATTGCTTGAATGCAACAACAAAATACAACATCAAACTCACTTTAGCGTATATATAAAACATAGAACTTTTATTAACAAAACAAATAAAAATACACCATGCTATAGGGCAGGCTATGCCTAATATAAAATAACAAATAAAGTTTAAATACACAACAATGTGAAACCAATTAAATAAGAAACGAATGTTTAAAAAAAAAATAATTCCAAAATCACCTTAGATAAACGGCAAAAGTCAACAGGCTTTTCAAAATCCAAAATATTGCCAAACAGGCGCTTTTGCATTTCGTTTCGAAACTAAATCATCTGCGATCGTCTTGTCTGTCTCACCCCACTCTTCTTGTCAGTCAGCTCGACTCACTCTCCTCACTGGAGAAATTAAATCTGATCTGTGATGCGACTGTCGTTCGGCACGCTGCATTGAGCAGCCGCGTTCAGTTTTTAATTGTAGTGTCTGTTCTTTTAATGTACTAAATGATTTTTATTACTCTAAAAAATCAAAACGACGGTGGGGGTCGATGACGTGGTGGGCAAGTGACGCAAGTGGTGTTGTGGCTTAACACCGGTATCACCGTCAGCACCGTCTATCGCGACAAGCCTATTTCTGGGTATTTGTATGAAAAACAGTAGTCTAAATACATTCAGTATAATTGCACAACGCTTAGCTTAATCACAAAAAAATACTGTAATTATATTACATTACTCCTTGAATACATTTAATACATGTCTACAATAATAATATAATACAATTCAACTACTATAATATAATAAAATAAAATATATGAATATCCCACATTTCTGCCACAATACCATGGTGCAGTTAGTGTTCCTACAGTAAATCCATGGAAATCAGTGGCGATTTGTAGATTTAAAGCCTGTTTGTCAGCGCTGTTTCATCTGCCTTTAAACTAGTTTAAATCACAGAGTCATTTGTGTTCTTCTCTGAATTCAAGCGCTTCACACTGGATCTCACAGCGCTGTTTATTGTCGAGTGACAGACTCATCAGCGAGTGAACATCTGCTCTAGTGAGCTTGTGCTGCAGTTTGATCTTTGAGTCGAGCAGATAAATGCTCCGTGTGGCGCGGCTCGAATGAGTAGCGCTGTTTTGTTCTGTTTTTGGCGCATAAACATTATATCGAACATTTAACGAACTCTTGTTATAGTTTTATCGAGGAAAATTATATTGCGATTATTATCGTTTTATCGCCCAGCCCTACTTGCGCTATCAAAAAACAAAAAAAACAATTATTCTATTTTGTATTTTTACTTTAACAACATAATGCTCTATTTGTTAAAACCAAGTAAATTTTTCATCATGCCTTTAAGCAGTTTTACATTCATTCCAAAATAATAACTACAAGTTGCAAGCTGTTCTGCTTAAGCTGTTCTGTTTAAAAGTCATCTTATTTTTGGATCATTAGTCATCAAAGCTCATTAAACGCTGTAGGTGTCATGATGGTCACAGACATGGAGATGTCCCAAATTTCACCAAACCGACTGCTCACTAAAAAAACCCTCACAGATTGTCTTTTCAAGTCCTTTCAGGTTTGATTTTGACATGACAAAGCACTGATATCTAAGTGGGTGAGTTGTTTACTTGCTTTTTAATTAATCTTCCCATTAATATTTGTGGGGGGTTTTTTTTGGAAAAAAAAAAATTCTCAGCCAATTTGTTGAGGAGGCACTGGCTCCTTGGAGGAAACGTGCCTGTATGTATGTATGTATGTATGTATATACAGTATATATGTTTGTTTTTTTCCCCAATTTTCATGCGCATTTGTTCTGAAACTGGTGAAAGCGTACCAAAGCCTGGCCCACGGATCCACCTCTCTTCTCGTCCACTGATCACACTGAAGCTGGGCTTGTAGTTTGGTTTAGCTGGTTGGGTGGTGGGTTTGGAGCGCTGGGTTTGCGTTCTGGGCGCTGAGCTTGGAGGCATCCAGGGTTTACTGGGGCCAGAAGAGGGCCGAGGAACCTGCTGCCACTGCTGACCTGAGTTCTTAGGGCCTCCTGCAGAGGGCGCCATTTTTAAACCTGAGCCAGAGAAACCAGTACTGGCCGAACCTGAACACAAATCAGTGTTAGTTACATGATACGCGTGATATGTGAGAAAGCAGTCTGGTAAAGAGTAAACACAAACATACCAGGCAGTGTTGAGCCCAGGTTACCCAGGTCTGCGAAGGGGTCAAAGCTTTGAGATTTGGCTTTGGAGAAAGATGAGACTCCTGAGGCTGCACAAACACAAAGTCAATGGGTTACAAAAGAAACGTTTTAAATGCTTTATGGGCTGCTGCAACTGGATTGTGAGCAGTCTAATGATTAAACAAGAAATCTGACTGGCTAGTAAACTTAGGAAATGTTTGATTGTATGACCAGAGTAATGGTTAAACTCAACGTTAACACTTTACAATAAGGTTTCAATTGGTAACATTAGTTAAGTACATTTGTTAACATGAACTAACAATGAACAAAATCATCTATTAACCTTAGTTAATGGTAGTCTCAGCATTTACTAATACATTTCAAAATGAAACAGAAAACAAAAATATCAACTATTTCAAAATAATAATAGTAACTATGACTATCTCAATGATACTTCAATAACAGCTGTGAACTAACATGGATATTTTTATTAACTAACATTAACAAAGATTAATAAATGCTGTAAAAATATAGGTAATTCATTATTTTTTCCTTGTTATGTTGCATGTTCTTACTATAGTACTAACAGTAAATTACACATAATTACAAGAAACTAACCTTAAACCAAACCCAGGAGCTTTATTTTACAGTCCTGTTCCGCATGTACATACTATGTACTTGTTATAGAAATTACAATAACTGGGTATTAACTAGGTACTAACCCTGAACCTACCCTTAAACCTAACCCTAACCCATGTAATTACCTTATATTATCCAATACTTTCTTATGTGCGTACATTGTAAGTACAGGTAAGTGTACGTACTGTAAAATAAACTGTAAGCCCAAATCCTAAGTACGTTGTTAATAAATTTTACTTTATAATTATATATTTATACTGTATCAACGACACCTTCAAATTAAGTGCAACCAAAATATATTGCTCCATGTTATTTAATCTTAATTAATGCATTAACTAATAATAAATTAGACTAGACCTAAACAAAGTAACTGTTTTGGTTATCTGAATGAATGACTGATTGATTACCACTCATAGTAGGTTTGCTGGCAGCAGTGGTCATGTTACTAGTCGTGCTGGTTCCTCCTGTGGTCCAGTTTTCCCAGCCACCTAACAGATCAGGCTGACTCGCTGATGATGTCATCTTCGGAGTCTCGCTTGATAACTTATCTGGCAAAACATTTTCAGACACCCCGAAGTTTGCTTTGAAAACAGCACAGAACTTCCCTCTCAATAACCACAATTTTTGTGTCCATTTTAAATAAGGCGATTATTTTTATACCGAATAACATGTTATTAAGTATTCCAATGGTTTGAATTATATGTAAATCAGAGCGGAACTCACTAAGGTTAAAGAGGCTGGAGTTGGATGCAGGAGGCGGAGCTTTGAACCCACTACTAGCATTGTCTGACCCCAGGAGGTCGCCAAACAGATCGGACCCTGCAGAGGCTGACCCCACACCGAAGGGGTCAAAGAAGTCTACAGAAAGAAAGTCAGTATAATTTAGAAAATACATCCTTAAAATGTAAAATAATAATAATAATAATAATAATATATCAAACAAACAAATACATTTACAAACAACATGTCCAGGTGATATTTTACCCCAACATTAAAAGAACAGAAAAGAAGAGAATATATGTGGGTATACAAAAGAATCACCCCCCTTTAAAATAATCACATTTTGTTGCTTTGCAGCCTGAAATGAAGACGGACACAGTTTTTGTTTTATCTGCTGTATTTACTCAGTGCAACTTATAACATCCAAGTGAAAGATAACACCAACATGTGAGAAAAAAAACAAAACAATCATATAATTTGGAAAAAGGATAATGCGCTTGTGTCAGTATTTCGTTAAACCACCTTTTGCTTTAATTACAGCCTTTAATCTGTTGGGATTTGTCTCTACTAACTTTGCACATCTAGACTTTACAACATTTGCCCACTCTTCTTTGCAGAACTGCTCAAGTTCAGTTAAATCTGATGGTGAGTGTTTGTGGTCTGGTCTTCAATCATTCCACAGATTTTCAGTGGGGTTTAAGTCTGGACTCTGACGAGGCCATGCAAGCACATTCACCTTTTTCTCCTTCAACCACTGTGTGCTCAGTTTTCATGTGTGCTTTGGGTCATTGTCATGTTGGAAGGTAAACCTTCTTCCCATTGACAACTTTCTGGCAGAGCAATGACCACTCTTTGTCATAAATTCCTGCAGCTGCTTCAGAGTTGCTGTCGGCCTCTTGGTTGCCTCTCTGACCAGTTTCCTCCAGTTCTTTCATCCAGTGTGGAGGACATCCTGATCCAGGGAGGGTCTGTGTTGTACCAAATACCTTCCACTTCTAAATAATAGACTTCTCTGTGCTTCTAGGCATTGATAAAGCCTTTGGATTTTTTTTTTATTCATCTCCTGACTTGTGCATGTCCACAACTTTATCCCGGAGATCTTTTGACAGTGCCTTTCCACCCATAGTTGATTGTTTGTTTCAGTTGCACTACCAAGGACTGAAATGCTCCATGAAAGCTCTTTTCTTTTGAAAGTCAACTGGCTTTGTGTGCCATTGAGAAGGTGATTAGCTACACCTGATTGAGTTTACAAGTCATTTTTAGGAGGGGGGTGATCCTTTTTCCAACTTGGTGATTCTGTTTTTTTATTTTTTTCATGTTGGTGTTATTATCTTTCACTTGGATGTTATTATATACATATGATGAGAATTTCAGATAAAAATCATGTAAATGCAAAAATCATATTGTTCTTAAAACATTCTTCATTTTCTTAACCCAAAATATTAATTTTAGATTTTTGACTTTTATCTTTATCTATATGCATTTCATTTGATGTCATTTTATTCAATGCAAGCAGCAGTAACAAAGTACAAAGATGGTCCCACTGGAATAATATGGGGTCAAATGGGTTGCTCTAAGGCATAATGCTTAATGCAAACTTTTGGTGACCAGCTTTTTGTTACTGAATGTTTATTTAAACATTCATGCACACAGTCTCTCTTACCTTTATTAGTGTCTGGTGCCGGTTGGCTGGATGTGCTGGAGAAGAACAGATCTTCTCCTGTACCTTCTCCCATCAGGTCTTCTGCATTAGCTGAAGGCACAGCATTGGGTGTAGGGGCGAACAGGTCGTTCAGTAAATCGCTGTTACTGGCAGAACTTTTCAAACCCGTCTCATTAGCAAGACCCGGCTGAGTGGCGGCGGCTGGGGGACAGGGGTCAGAGTTCAGGCCGAGTAGGTCCTCTGTGTTGGGCTGAGGGTCAGGTGGCGTGGTTGTGAAGTCTGCCTCGAAGAGTGGTTCGCTGATGTCACGTGACAGAGTCCCATCAACGGGGGCGGAGTAAGACACTGACTCCTCCTCCGATCCGCCACTCAAATCATCCTGGTCCTCCAATTGGCTGTCAGAATGTTCGAACTGCCGACTGCCATCTGTAAACACACCATAATACAGTACAGCTAATTTAAGTGCAGAAAATATAATAAAGGCTAAAGAAAGAAATGCTTTGGTTGGCAAAAAGTTGATGGTCCACATATACAAATGACATAAAATGACTTTCTATGTAATAAATGCCATTGAGGAACAAAATGTGCCAAACAATTCAGAAAACAGGATTTAATGCTTACTTTTTTTCCCCAAGGAGCACATGTGCCCCTAATTTGAAAAATTATGTTGTGCATAAAGAATTTCAGAAGTACAATGAAAATTTACCAAATAATTACATTTTCCTTATTAAAGGGTTATGAAGAAACATTTACAAGATATATATATATATATATATATATATTAAGGCTGTCAAAATGGCTGAAAAACTAAATTCGAATTTTGTACTTAAATATTATCAAAATTCAAATCATTTTAAAATGCACAATTTCAGTTAGGGTGAAGAAAAGCTTTTGGATTCTCTCCTGAGGCCACAAGAGGGCGCATCGAGCAAAATATTACTAATGCACGTTTATTCAAAGCATAAGATAACAACATCTGTGAAAAAAGTGCATAATGTTTAAAATAATGTTTATAAACCAATTATAATTAATTAAGTTGCTTTAACAACTATAAACAAAACAGCATCATGTATGTATGCATAGTTTAATACAAAGGGCGGAAAGCCAATCACACAGAGTACATTTTTCATTGAAAAACATGAGATGCAGTGGGATGGGGGGAAAAAACCCACCATAAAGTCTTGATATATGTTTTTTTCAAAGTTAAACTTGCATTAACATGGCTTTCTAAACATGCGGCTCCTTTGTGCGAGATGCGAGTGCAACGGTGACAGATGTCCCTCTATAAAATGCGCGAAATATGTGTTCTGTGTGAACGGCTTGGTTTCAGTTTTGATGTAAACAAGATCTTCTCCGCATTGATGTTCTCTTTTTCCGCTATCTTTTTAATGAACAACGCAGCAGCACCACATCTAGTGGCTTCAACTGGATAGGTTAACAAAAACATTATAATGCAGCGACACTTACATCGTCATCGCATCTCGTGCGCCACTGATAAGGCTGCCTGACACACACCTAAAATTCAAATGCTACGTTTTTGCATTCGAATGTGGATTTTTATTTTAAATTTGACGAATATTCGAAATTCAAATTTTTTTTGACAGCCCTAATATATATATATTACACAGAAAGTATACTAGTTTTTTAAATATTTTGGCTTTAAACTGCATTTATTTAAAATAATGTAATTATTTATATCTTAAACATTGAATCAAATGTTAGATAGTTTATTGTACACCAAAATACCAATACTAACCAGTAAAATGTTCGCAAATTGTGGGACTTTAAATTATAAACAAGCCAGAAATAGGCCGGGACTCCTATTTTGAAATGTCTTTGCTAATTCAAGTTGCTTTTTCAAATAGTCTATTTTGACATTGAAATGTGCAGCACTCAAATTTTTTTATTAAATCACAGCATTTGAAGTTTGATAATCACATGAAGCTGTATCAAAATTTCTGCTTTCAAGCCCCGAATTTAAGACCATCTAAAATGATAATTAAGACTTTTGTTTTTGTATTTTTAAGATACTTAAGACTTTTTATGACCTTAAATTTTAATTTAAGACTTTTTTTTTTTATTTGCACACATGCTCCTAAATACATGGTACAGTTCACACACATCTATAGTTAGTCACAAATGCGAGTTAAATGCACTGTTAAGCCCTGTAAAATTAAAATTATTCATTAAACAAACTAAAAAAGGAAATATTTTAATATTATGAAAAGCTACACACTTCACCTTTAATGTGCAGAGACAACTAACGGTAAAACTTTACAATAAGGTTCCATTTGTTAATATTAATTAACTGCATTTGTTAACCCTTTAGGCGCCAGGGTTTTTTTTTTTTTTTAAATGCTGGATTTTGAAATCAAGATTTTAAAAGCTTGTTGCTTGAA